TATATATATATATATATATAAAAGATGTGAATGTGTGGCACAGTGATTACATACTCTCTCCAGGCTTTCGAAATCTGCTCTGAAGCCAGAAATCATGGGAACCTCTATGACTGCCATGTTGGATGAACCTGAATGGAGCCACCTAGACAAAAAGGTTGGAAAAAACCAATCAACAAAATAGATGTTTTTATTTTATATTTATCTAGGTCTTTAAACAGGAGTACCATGGATCTCTACCTAGCGCACACTTCTAAAGAGATGTGGAAGTTTAGCTTGTCCTGGTGGGCTGCTGGGTCATCATCTTCAATGGGAGCTCTGCGCCTCCGACTGAGCTCAGAGCGGTTGTCGACTCGGCTCCGGGAACGTGACGCAGAGTGCTTGGAAGTAGAAGATGCGGAGGAGGGCTGTAGGCGTCGCTCCTGTAGCGGTTCTCTCAGATCCACCTTGAGTTGGAAAGCTGGCTTTGCTATTGGATCAGGAACATTATAGGACACATCGATCTACAGAAATGAAAGAAAGAAGACAAAAAAAACACTCAGTAGTCGGGGTTTCAAGCTATTACTCATATGCTTCAAACAAATTACATCTTTTAAGTAAGCATCTCTTTTTTAAATGATTCCTTTAGTGCATTGCTTAAGTATTCACTTACCTGAAACGTTTTCACAGTATGTTACGTTAAAACCACAAATATTTATGTTCAAGGATTTTTTTGAGAAAACTAAAATGCATGATCTTTAACTGAATTTAGCTCTTTAAATTTTTTTAACTTCTTTAAATTCCATTTTTAGCTGCAATTGTTTTGGGTATCTCTATATCAGCTTTATGCCATCTATATTTTGAAATGTGTCCCTACTGTTGTATGTAAATTTGGTCCACTCAGTAAGTTTGGATGGAGTTTTTGTCTGCATAAGCCTCAAGTCTTTGTCCAATTTATTCAATTCAATTCAGTTTATTTATATAGCGCCAATTCACGACACATATCATCTCAAGGGGCTTTATAGAGACAATTCCACCAGATCATACAGTCAAACTGATTGAAAGTTTTCTATCTATCTATCGACTCATTGACTCAAAGGCAATCCCTCACAACCAACACACTTATAGCGACAGTGGAGAGGAAAAACTCCCCCTAACAAGATCTACGAGCTTGTCCTCCAGGCTCGTCCTATATTTACCTCTATCCATCCTCCCATCAAGTGCTTCCCTGTAGTAGAGAATAATCCTACAGCATGACTTTCCCAAAAAGCTTAGCTCTGTCTCATTTGATCAGAGCACCTTCATACGTGTTTGCAGTATCTCATAAATTCCTTGTAGTAAACAACACTTTTAATGTTTTTCTTTTCACTCTGGGTTCCTTCTTGGATGGCATGCAACAATGAATCTGATTTGGCAGATTATCTGACAAAAAACGGGACCTATGATGTCTGTGGGAAAACAAAGACATAAAAGAAAATGAGACCTCAGAGACCACTTGCCTTTCTTCACAGCAGCAACACTATCTCGCAAATCTGTGTGTCCAGCGATGGACCCTTTGGTTGCAGCCTATTTATTTTGGCGAAGTGAGATCGGAGCATATAGAGTTGTTACACAAGATGTGTATTTTGGAGGAAACTGTACTGTTGATGAAATTCCCCCATCTAATCTAATACCCAAGCTGCTCTAGAGTTACCCCTAATGTAAGAGATCAATTTTGGAATATGATCCAATTAAAAAATTTGGTCCTCAACAATAAGAACGCAATGAAGTGAAGGAGGTGGTGTTGACTGCTGACGATTCTTTGAAACAGCATCAGATGGACAGATAAGAGTTGGGGGATATTCAGTCAAACCTCAGCAGCCTCAATTTCATGAGTTGTTAATATAATCTCACTAATTAGAGTTCAGGTTATTCAGGGCTATCTCTATAGTTTAACTGCTATAGGCTTAGACTGCTGGAGGACATAGGGACCTGTTTTTTACCATTCTGCTTCATTGTATCTCTATTCTCCCACTCAGCAGAATTTGTTAGTTTAAACTCTAACGTTATGCTCTCTCTGCTTTTTTCTCATAGTAGCTTCATCTGGTCTGTTCCTGTTTGGCTGACACCATCAAAGAGAGAAACATCAGCTGTGCTGCTGCAATCAACACCCTTGTTTTTAGATGTTGGAGATTGGCCTGTTTTTCAGTGTAGTCCTGTTTCGCTGACTGTGACTGTCTGGATGTGCCCTCTTCATTGTCTGACATGGGAGCTGGCTCGACTGCCTGGCTGTGTGTGTTTCCTGGACAGGACATAAATTATAACTGTATTGAATTTCATCCTCTTAGATGGGAGCTGATTAGGAGCTTGTCTGCTATGTTGTGTGTTTCCTGGACGGGGCCACCTTTGGAGCTGGTTGACAGTTGCCTTTTGTATCTCTGCTTCTGTCTCCTTGAACTGCAGTCGGCCTTAGCAGATTGCCGCTCACAATGAGCCTGGTTCTGCTGGAGGTTTCTTTCTGTTATAAATGAGTTATTTGCTCCCCACTGTCGCTACAAGCATGCTTGGTGTGTGGGATTGCTTTCGAGTCTTAGATAAAAACTTAGAACCAATCTGACTGTGTGATCTGGCTGAATTGTCTCTCTAAAGTGCCTTGAGATGACAAGTGTTGTGAAATGGCGCTATATAAATAAACTGAATGAACTTAATATGGAAAACAATGATGAAGAAAATTAACACTTAACACAATATAAAATATATTGCTCGTTGCTTTAAAATACTAATGAATTATTAACCTCATACTGTCTATAATCTATTAACTAAAGTAGATACAAATTAGAAACTAACCATTTCTTAGGACTAGAAACATACATTGGGTGGGAGTACTATCTTAGAGTAGAGACAACTCAGCTTTTTAATACATTTGAATCTTAAATGTATTTTAATCCAAGATAAATCAAGTTTAGTTCAAAGAAATTTTCACAAAGTATTAAATGGTAATCCCAACTGTCTGCCTATAAACACATACACAGACAGGGACGCTTTGATTGCCCAGCTCTTGTATCTAATTATGGCCCAGGTGCTGCTTGCCTGAGGGGCTGTCAAAGAGGAGTGTTGAAGCATTAAAAAGCAGGGATCTGTAAAACTTGCGTCTGTGAAAACAGTGAAGTAAAATAAGTCTGTGATATTTATTTTATCCTGTAAAACCATCACTGAAATTGACTGAACCAGCTGAACTCTATGAGTTACATTTATATGAATACATATAACCAGGCAAGCTATTTCATTTCTGGATGATTATTTAAACACGCATGATATAAAAAAAAAAAAAAACTGTTAAAACCCCACGTCTGAAAATATAATCTGTAAATCAAATTACCCAAAAAACAAAAAAGAATGAAATTTTTTATATACGATACTGAGGCAGCATTCAACACACCTTTTTATTGGAAATCATTGTAAGACAAAGCATTAGATTTTCATTTAAGGTAGTTTTCCAAGACTACAAACAGGCAGTAACACAAGTTTGAGAGCATCTAATACCTGCATGAGACAGCAGCCTTCACCTTTAGCGCTGACAAAAAGGCCTGTGGGGATACTTGGTATCTACAAGGGGGAAAAAAAGGAGGAGAAACAAAGAGAATCAGAGGGGGCAGGGAGAGGTGACTGAGTCATTTATCAAGTGAGTGAATGCTGTAGGCCCTTGTACTGCTGCTGTGGCTCCCTGGCTACTTACCAACAGCCCTAAATTGCCCCTAATTAAGTTGACACCCCTAATCATAGCAGTAACAAACATGCCTGGTAGGACTTGCTTGCATTCTCACCTGAAAGGAGATCTAGCAAAGGGGAGATAAGCCCCTCACTGTCAAGTTTGTTTAATGTGTGGGTAAACAGGTCAGTAAAACACAGTTTCTTAATCATAATACAAGGTGTGTTTGAGAAATCCAGCTTGGTTTGACTTGGCTCCAAGTAAAAAGGTCTTGGCTGCAGTATGCAGAGATTACAGTTCAGGGGAATTTCACTCTGATACATAGCAGCTCATTAATCACCGAATAAGTGCATATATAAATTGGAGCTTAACTGGATAAAATGTCCAATCCATCTTGGTTATGACATCTGGAACTAATAAGTAAATGTGATGAACTGATATTAAGAATCGGAATGCCAAACTGGTGTTTCCATTACATCGGTACGGAAGAAGACCGAGCAGCCTTGAAGTAGCAAAACAAGCAATCAAACAGTAGAGGATTTGTTCTAATCCGCAGTCACCTTGGCCCTCTGAAGGAGTTTCTTGTTGTCTCGGTTGAGCTCAAAGGCCTCCTGGAAGTCGAGGTTGGTGGAGGCAAGAGAGATGGTGAGGTTTACCCCTCCTACGTATGAAAGGATGGCGTACTCCGACAGGGCGTGCAGAGCCACGCATGTATCCTAAACAGGAGGGTCAAATGAGACGGTGGAGTTTTAAGATCTGATTTTGAAGGCTTTGCATTTAAAAAAAAGTATTTCTTCTTTATTCTTTTGTTCTTTTTTGTCACTTAAATGTTTCAGGTGTTTTTTTTATACCAAACTCAGATTACCTAAGTAAATACAAATAAGCGTTTCCAAATCATACATTAAACCACTATTTTCTAACTCTTTATTCTTGCAGGTTAGTTAGGTGTTGATGCCTATTGTATCTTAAGCAACCATTGGAGAGACAGAGACAGGTTGCCAGTCTATGACAGGACAACTCAAAGAACAGACAGTAATACAGTAATACCTAAGGCCAAATAATAGAGAACATTTACCTAAGGGTCATGGTTTTGGACTGTTAGAGGAAGCTAGAGAACCTGGAGGGATTCTAAAAAATGCATGGGAAGAATATTCAAGCTACCAACAGGTAAGAATTTGTGTGCGGTAGCACTATAAACTGCTGACAACAATGTAACCCTTGGTTTTTAAATGAAAAAAACATTTCTCCTATGAACTATATTTTCTTGTTCATGATCTAAAAATAAGAAAAAGATGTGGATGAATGTTATCCATGAAAGCATCCAAGGTAATATTTGTTTGATCAAAAAATACTTTATCAATGAAAGAGGGAAATTAGATGTAGTGTTAGTTTTTTGTGTTTTTTTTTAAGGGATGTATATGTTGATAGCTGATGGCAGGAAGGATTTTCTGTAGAGGTCTGTCTGTTACAGCGGGTCTGAAGAAGCCTCTGACTGAAGAAAGTGTTGTTGTTAAAAACTTTTCTGAAGAGGATCCACAGCATTGTCCATAATGTTCTTCAATTAGTTAACAGACTAGGACCTAAGCTTCCTCAAAGACATGTAACCACAACTCGCAAAAAGCAAAACAAAAAAAAGTTTAGCTCCCCAAACCATTAAGGATCTCTCCGGATCTTGGGAATATATTCCGTTTGAATATTGCTAAATATGAATCAGTAAAAATAAATCCATGTTTTTTTAGAAGATGTGTGTCCTATTATATATGGGGAAAATTTTTTAGCGCTTCAGAAAAAGAAGCCAACATGGCCTAGGTCTGCTTTGTTGCTTTTGTTTATTTGATGAAACCCTGAATCCAGCTCTCTACAGTTTGTGGCCTTGAGCTCAGGTATATTTGAGTTCTCAAGCAGGGAGAGGATCCAAAACATACCTGAAAGTTCCCTCCTATTTCAGATTATGTTTCATCTAAGGAGTGGGGTTATTTTTGTATCCACAAAGGGCCAATGTTTTGAATAGCTCATTTTTGTCTTTCTATCTATAATTACTGGAATACAGCTACCTGAAAGTGTGACAAAAAAGCCAAAAGGAAGAAATCTGAGAATAATTAATTACTTCTTGGCAGCACTGTACAGTAGCACACTTAAAAGTATCAAAAATATGGCATGTAACCATTACAGAAAAGTCAGTAAAATCATGCATTTCTGTTCTTACATTCTACAATTACACTCAACATGTTGTTATTCACTTATACGAGTCCTCCTAAATACAATACTCTCAATCCTGGTAAAATTTTCAGGAGGAATAATTACCTTGTAATGGTAAATGCTCGATTTCAATACGATATAAAATCTATACAGTAAAACTACAATACAACAAAATATTCCAGAAATAACTTTAAAAAATTACTTGTGTGGAAGAGAAACCACCCAAAGCATTTCTTTGCTGGGAGAGCCATTTGACAATAGGCAGCGCAGAAGCAACATCACCCATGATGGTGTAGGTCAGAAGGCCATAGGCTGTCATCTCCACCTCTGCTGACACAACTGGGAGCAACAGAATACATTTAGAGACAATTCTCTGGGTTGTTATATTTGCAGGAATTCAAATTATAGGTTTGCCCAATTTAAAAATATTTCGTTCATAGTTAATAAAACTATTGTAGATTCCGATAGCACTTATTTCTCAGATATTTTCCAACTGGCACCTGAGTGAGAGAAACCATCGCTGAAGCCCATGAAAGTATCTTCATCGGTCACAGTGCTGCCAGTAAGGCTCCAGTGGGTGAGCCCATCTGCAACAATAAAGATGCTGAAGTGAAAAAGGTTGTTTTAACAGTCACATCTATATCCATGTCTAAATTTAAAGGTGCCTTAATAAGAACACCTTACTTCCTCGCTTAATGCAACTCTTGTTTCTGATGTTAATATTGCGTTTTTTTTATTTATTATTATTTTCACTACACAATTTCATTTATAGGAAGGAATCTTTCTTTTTTCTTTGAAATGGCGCTTAATTGATAACATTGACACAGTGAGAATATTACAAGAGATTCACTTTTTTTTTTTCTCAAAACACACTAACTAGTTCGTACACATGTGGTCCAGGGTAATAAGCTTTAACGAGTGAAAGGGGTAGCAGTACCTTTAGTGATGGCCATGTGGTTGAGGCGACGCAGAGCCAGCGGAGCATAAAGGCTGCGGAGCAAAGACAGGGCATATGCAGACAGAGCTGTGGTGTAAGGGTCATTGGCAGAATAAGTGTTGCTTTCGAGGAAATCCTTGGCTCTAGCCACTGCGACCTTCTCTTCCTGTACACAATAGTGGAGTCAAAAAGAAAAAAAAATGTGGTGTTGTTTCAGGAAACAATGCCACTGACAATTTTTGAGCTAATTATTAGGCGTTATCTGTTTCCCATTTTAATATTTTTGCAGTTGCGATGTTTACTGGCCGCCCCAGTAAAGTGGAATATTATCAGCCTTGAAAAAAAGTAATCTTTTATTATCTTCCATTGAAAAATGAAACATTTAATTTCTCTTTATTCTTTTGAAAACATATAAAATTGAATCAATTTTATTATTAACTTTTATTTTTCACAACAGGCATACCTCATGCAAATACATCTTTTCCAGTAAGGTGAATTTTATACTTCTGTTGGTTCTACCTTAAAGTCTGTTCCTTACGATGGCCTCAGTGATGCTTACTAGAGTAAACCTCCACCTCATGTCATGCTGGGTTGATAGATAATTAGTTGGAACTTAACTGAGCCATTATTCTGGTTTGATCATAACCTAAGCCTGGGGTTATTTCACTTCTTCCTATCTTGTCTGAAAAGCACACCATGCTTCAACTCTGTGCACTACTGCTCTGAAATAAGTCGTGTCCCCTTGCTGGAGCCCTGTTTGAGGCGGTACGTGTAATTTTTTGTGTAATGAATGAGGCAGGCCGACTGACAACCTTGTCAGGGAGCCCTTGCTGGCTGGAAGCCCCAGGTGGTTGCCTACTGTGCTTAAATGGTAAGTCTGCCCTTGAAGTCTCATAAACAACAAGTTGGCATGTACCGTTTGGTGTTTGGTTGAGAGACTTAGTGACGCCAAGCTGTAATGATGTAAAAGCCTGAAGATGTTTTGTTTCATTCTCTTATATATTTTTCCGTATCATATTCAGCATCTTCTCATCTTCAGTTTTTCCCGGGAAAACTGTGACTCATTGATTCCTATTTAGAGCTAATGGTAATCGTGCATGAATTCAATACTTGTTTTAATTTAATAAGATTCTTCCTTTTTAGCTGCAACTGTAGACCTCAGTGCATAAATGTCATAATAGTTTAAGCAGTTTCTTTTCTGTTTTGTGTTTATTTTGTGAACATACCCTCACCACAATGTGTGCCACCACATACAATGGCGCAACATCTTTATTTTTTCAGTCCAAACTCTGTAGTTGCATAAACAATATTTTATTCCTTAAAGGATAAGTCTACGCTCTTCCATGCAGATGTGATCTTCCGTCTCATCGATTATAGTCTTCGACAGCCATCTTGCTTTAATTGCCACCTTTGCCTTTTAATGAATGGAAATTGGAAAGGAGATCAAGGTTTAGCTTTGAACTGAGAAGTACCTTTTCTTCTTTTTTTGTCAGTTGTAAAAGAGCAAATTCTAAGAAGAATCCCTCTGGGGATAGACAGCAGCGTGAACGGGGAAGACAGATGGATGGAACATTTCCAAGGAGATGAAATACCAAATAAAATTTAACTATTTAAAAAATCTGGTGGAGAAACAAAAAGCTTTTATGAGCCAGGAATACATACTCTGAATGCCCAGTTTCTTTTATTGAAAAAAAAAAA